GGCGTGACGAATTCAGATTCCAAGTTTTGAGCAGGTCCAAGGGAGGCTTTTCAGTGGAGGACCGTCTTATGTGGAGTCTGGAGGAGCATAGAGGCTTTGACAAGTTGTTTTGGGCAGTTGGGGAGATCTTCTTTTTCGACTCTTCGAACTAAACTGGCCAATGCTTTCGAGTTTTTGCCGGTGGGCACGTTTCAAGTTGGTCTTGCTGCGCTTGAGAGAACTTAGTGTTGATCGAAGTTTCCCTGTTGCTTTTGTTCGCCTCCGGAACATGAATTTCAGACCTGCCACCGCAATACAACTGACTTTCATGACTTGGAAAAAAAGTCTCAGCATGTTCTCGCCCATCTTCAGGCGCTTTCTCAATGCTTCGAGAGTTTGCCGCCAGGACCTGGAGAAGTCATCGGGCTCGTGGGGAGTGAAATGCGTCAGTCCGGCCCTCAGGCATCGGGCCATCAGTCTTCCGGCATGCCCTGGGTTTAGGGTTTAGGGTTTAGGGTTTAGGGGTTGGGGTTTAGGGTTTAGGGTTTAGCGTTCAAGGTTCAGAGTTCGGTTTAGGGGTTGGGGTTTAGGATCAAGGGGGCTGCACAGCCTACTGAGGCAAGGACTGGTTTTAGCAAGGCTTCCTCGGAAGTTGAAGCGCCGGGCGTCCGTAAACTCGTAAGAAGGCAAGGCGACGGATGAGGAGGGCGTAGAAGCGCTTTCAGGGCAGCGGTTTCCATGGCACACACGCTGTTGACTGGCTTTCTGGGCAGTCAGCGCGGGCGCATCGCTTAGCATTTCGGACATTCCAAGCATTGCAGACGCAACCGGGGGCAGTTCGATACTGATTCAGAAACCTTGAGTTTCCCAATGTACGCAGATTCACCAAGCTCTTGCGCCCTTTGATGGAGTCAACCTGCCGCGGTGCGAGCCCAGGCGTCGACGTGGGCATCGACTCTGCTGAGGAGCTGGCTTTAGAGAAGGGTGGGGGACCCAAGAACCTCAAGGGATGAAGACGCGTACCCCTATGGGTTGACCCCCCTAAAGGTTACACGCCTGATATGGCCCTTAGATTCCCTTAGGGATCCTGAAAAAGGCACCCGAAAATCCAAGGGTGCAACCTTAAGGGTCCAAGGTTCAACCCCTAGAAGAGCACGTGGCCCAAAGCATGGTCTCAAGTGTCCAATTGTGCTAGCACACGCCGGTGATCCTTTCACCTGTAGTACATACTGTCCCCTCATCAAATCGCGACTCGGCTGGCATCTCCTGCAGATGCTCGCGTTAGTGCTTTGTGACATCTGTGGTTATTTCAAGGCATGGTTTGCACTTTGTTTCTACTCCTTGTCCATGGAAAGATCGTTTGGGGTGCGTAGTGGCACCCTTTATGCAAGCGCACGGGTAAGGCTGCGTGTCAAAACTTGGCAGCTTCTTGCATCTTCGGGTTATGAGAATTCGGCGGCTTGACTCTGAGAAGCTCAGACATAAGCCGCCCCCCTCTGCCTAAACCCTAAACCCTAAACCCTAGACCCTAGACCCTAAACCCTAAGCCTGGCTAAGGGGTCGGTGCTCAACTCCCTGTGGTTCGCGTCTACGCTCCGCCTGCCCGAGATCACTTGTGGGTGGCTGAGCTGCCAGGGTCCTGCAGGTGAGTGTACATGAGTCTGATTCTAAGAATACTAATAATATTCGACAATAATACTGAACATTTCATGAGTCATCATGAGTCTGATTCTGATGATGTTTATGATGATGGTGGTGCTGATGGTGCGAATTGTGATGATGCTCATGCATCAGCATCAGCTGCCGCTGCTCATGACGATGCTCTCTTATTTTTTGATGGGGGGGGGGGGATGGGAGGGAGGTGAGGGAAAATGCTGTTCCATCTTCTGAACGCCTGTCCAGACGAGTCGACGAGAGTCATGCGAGGACAAGGGTGACTTGTTCTGTCATCAGCGAGCAGACCTTATAGGGGCTCCAGGTTAGTTAGATACACGCAGATACACCCCAAGGTCACGGCCCACGGCCCCGACCATTTTTAATCATGGTCACATTTCTACTCTGGGCCCAAACAGCATTGCTTTATGTCAACATCCACTCACAGTGTAAGCTGTATGATGCTTTGGCTTCGCAGAATACAGTGGGCACGATCCTGGCAGATGTTCCTCATGTTCAAGTGTCCCTGTATGAGCTTGATGTGTTGGTCTCGTTTTCCGTTGCTCCTGACGAGTGGTTGCGAGCTGTCTCTTGGGATGTTCCCCCTTATACTAGCAGTCCCTAATAGGGATTCTAGTACCTACCCCCTATTTCTAATCCCTATGAAGGAGCTCTTGGTATAAGGGGGGACATCCCAAGCCGTCCATCAAACTAATAAGAATCAGAATAATATGGCTAAGAATACACAAGAACAAATAGTAATCATATTCATAGTAAAAATGCTGTAAATTTTAAAAGAGACAAAGCACGACCCCCCAGGGCCGAGCTCGTCGGCCCGGCCTGCACGGCAGCCGCCGTGTCGCAAAGCTTGCAGTCAGCGAAGCAGAAGGCACCCCCCACCAGGTTTAGGGTTTAGGGTTTAGGGTTTAGGGGGTTAAACAAGGGTTTAGGGTTTAGGGTTTAGGGTTTTGGGTTTAGAAGGCCCCTTCCCCCTCCCCCCCTTTGACAGTCAGGCTGAGAAGTTGGGGTTTTGGTTGTCTTGTGAGGTCTTGCAGTCCCTAGAATGTTGGCCACTAGGCCTAGGCCATGGTGTGGTTAAGGTTGAGGGTTTAGGCTTTAGGGGCATTGAGTCTCGGTTTGTTATTGCATGCTCTGGCGTGTAAGGTGCTAGTAGAGGTGGTTGGGGAGGCGTGTTGTGGGCTGCGCAACGTCAACAGTGCCTTAGTCTTTTGTTACGTTAGGAGAAGTCAGCGGAAACATTCCAAGGAAGTAGTGCGGCAACGGGAGGATCTTGTGTCTTGGCGCTGTCCGTGCAAGCCCGCTGGCTCTTCAGTTCACAGTGCGGAAGCCAAACACGATGGCCACATCCCCTTCGCCTGCCCAAACCCCATCGCGCACGGCCTTCAACTCGACCTTTTAGCGGAACTTGCCGACCTGGCTCGGTGTTCACGTCAACCTGCATCCCTCAGCTTCCCCTAAACCCCTAAACCCTTAACCCTTAACCCTAAACCCCTCATGCGCTCCCCAGCCGCTAGCTTCCTAGTGCAGTGCACAATGTCTGCAGCCGGGCGCCGGCACAAAAATGATCTTGACGCAAGCATAAGCTTCAACCTTACCCGAGGCGCTTCTTGCCACGATTTGGAGGTTTTTTTTCGAATTTCGGGGTACCTTCTTGGGGTCTTTTTTAAAAAGGGAATCCTACTATTTGGGGGGTGTTTTGTTAGGGGTCCCCTATTGTCCTAAACCCCCATTCAAAAGTTTGTGCCAGAGACCCCGAGACCTAACTTACGCCCTACGCCCTAAACCCTAAACCCTAAACCCTAAACCCTAAACCCTAAACCCTAAACCCTAAACCCTAAACCCTAAACCCTAAACCCTAACACGCCCTACATTGACTTCGAAGTCTGAAAGTCTGCCATGACAGAGCTGTTTGCTCGGAGCGGCCGGCCCGGCCGCCGTCCAAGGTGCTGGCAGCTGGTGCCCTGCCTGTTCTGCTATGTTTGGGCTTAGGGTTTAGGGTTTAAGGTTTAGGGTTTAGGGTTTAGGGTTTAGGGTTTAGGGTTTAGGGTTTACGGCACTTAATCCTGTACCCCATTTGCAAGTGAGATGCCTGAGATCCAGTGCACCATATTGTGAGTATGAGGCACCATGTTCACCACATACGCGGACTTCTCAGGCTGCCGTGGCTCTGGTCGTACTGTGTCTGGGACACTCGGCTTTCATCCGGATGTTCCCTGGAGGCATGAAGATGCAGGGGGGCATAGAGTTGAGGTGTTGAGGAATTCGGAAGTCTTGTCAGAGGAAAAAAATCACGCTGTGATGACACAGCATGACTTCAGGTTTGAAGCCTAAACCCTAAACCCTAAAGGGTGTTAACAAAAAAAAACATGCAGCTTGAAATGATGTCAGCTCTTTGTCAGGCAGGTGGAGCTTCAAGCTTTGATGTCCAGACTCGGACAAGCCTTCCAATGCTTCGACACCACAGTGCATGGAGGGACACGGAACTGCCTAGTAAAGCCTATACAGAAGTACACATATCTATATATATATATATAACATATAAATATAAATAGATATTTAGATAAATATAAGTAAGTAAATAAATAAATAAATAAATATATATATATATACATATATAGATACAGTAACTGATCCACCACATTCCATCACGCATATGTTTTGTGGTACCTCTCAAGCAGCATCCGGCCGATTGCAGGGATTGGACTTAATGGCGGGGGTCGTTTAAAGAACGCACACAGACAATGCGAAACCCTAAACCCTAAACCCTACACCCTAAACCATAAACCCTAAACCTACGTTCACAGAGTGAGCCGAGGCTTCCAAGGAGCCGGCGAGGCCATCAGCTGAGCAAAATCTCTGCAGGGGACCTTAGGTGTTAGTTGGGGGTTGTTGTTTCGGGTTCAGGGTTTAGGGTCTAGGGTGTGGGGTTAAGGGTTTAGGGTTTAGGGACTATATAAGGTATATTCCCCTTAACAGACCCAAAACCTGAACATGTTTCGTAGGCATGCCCTCTGCAGGCGTTACAGCCGGGATTGCCTGTTGGGGGCCCACAGTTCACCGCATGCCGGCTTGCCACGGCTCAAGAGTGTGGCAAAAGGGCCATATGATATGTCCGCAGCCAAGACATGGTATGGCTGCCTTTGCCACTGCACCCAACATTGCAATCTTAGCGAGGTACTCCAAGTACTCCAGCCCAGCATGTAAACTACGGCAGGTCTGTAAGCCTGACGGCACATGTATCTCAAAGAAGCTGCTGAAGTCTTACGTGCATTGGATCTTCGGGACTGGCATAGGACCAGGCACCGGTTGCCCCAGGCCACAGGCCTGGGGATTTTGAGTGCCGGGCCATGATTGATGCCTATGATGTCCTGGGAGTTGCCGTGGATTGCAAGGACTCCCGACATGAACTGCGGTCCTCTGCCAGACATTGAGCATGATGCCCTGGTAGATTCGTAGATGTCTAGCTGCTGCACTGTGATGTCGACACTTGAGAAGTGATACCCCTTACCCCCCCCCCCCCCCCCACATCTCTCCACCAGTGTTGAGCGTGCCAAGATACAGGCACCCAAAGAGCCCTAAATTAATTAAAGAATATGCCTGAAAGCAGATTCAGGATCCCTCACTCACAGTGAGTGAAAGTGAGACACCTTAAAGCACATTCAGGATCCCTATACAGTTTAAGGTCTATTCCTTACAGTTACGCGATTTTCTGGGCTCTCTGGGCATCTCACGCCGTGTCGGGTGCGTGTGCCAGGAGGACGACATCAAGCAAGCGTTTCGCAAGATGTCGCTCCAGAGCCTTGGAGATGTCTGGTCAGAGGGTTCAGGGTTTAGGGTTTAGGGTTTAGGGTTTAGGGTTTAGGGTTTAGGGTTGGTTGAGCACCTCAGAGTTAGATCGAGCGCGTTTGGGCTTTCTCGGGTCTCATGAGAAGCGGCCGACGAGCCAAGGAACCATCCGGACAAAGTGGGTGGAGGAGTCGAGGCAACGAACAAATTCAACGAGATCAAGAATGCCAAAGAGCGTCTTGGCCATGTCAGGGTGAGCACTTCCATCCTTTTTGTTACAAGATTGGGTTTAGGGTTTAGGGTTTAGGGTTTAGGGTTTATAGGGTTTAGGGTTTAGGGCGCCGAGGCTGTCAGCGCAAGTCCGGCGACTCATGAAAGGGTGTGGGGATTCCAACATTCCAACATGCACCGCAACAATGCGACAAAGGAGCACCAGCTCAGCCCACAAGTGCAACTGCCTTTAGGTCTTCCCATCTTGTTTCCCAGAAGATGACCTCTAAGCTGACGCCTTTCATCCCAGAGAAGAGATGAATTGCAGACTGTATCGGGGATTGGTGCAGTGACTGAGGATCCTCTCAGATACTGAGCGGCGGAAGATCTACGACACCTTTGGGGTGGACCTAGGCCGCTGGCGAGTGATTGCACGGTTTAGAGGCCCATCCCCGAAGCCCTGAAACAAAAGAAAAATGTCAGAACTGTACCACTTATGGAGTCATTCTGAAGACTTTCATCTGTAGCATGAGATGCAGCCTGTGATGAAATGCTTCTCATGACTAAAAGCAAGCCAGGCATGCAATCTCCCAAGGTTCCACCCGGCGCACGGCGGTGGAGCAAACTGATCTCCAAAAGCCCCATGAATATTCGCATTGTTCTACATGATGGGCCCTCTTGGGGCACCCCTTAACTTTCAGGCCCCAACAGGGACTTTGATTGAGAAGAATCCCCCCCTCACATCCCCCTAGATGACCTGCCATGACCTACACCTGACAGAGACAGATTCTTGGTGCAGGGGAAGAGCGACCCGAGATGGAAGCTCCTTTCCGGCATTTCTACGCCCGGTGGGGTTCAGGCTTTTGCCAGTTGAACTCAAAAAGCTCAATCGGCGGTAGCCTTTGCAAGACGAGCTGAGCACACGAGTACACGGCAGGTTGGGGTTGGGTGTAGGGTCAACACAGGCGAGGGTACGCTTACCAAACGTCAGGAAATGGAAGAGAAGCGTCCATCTGCTTGTCCATAAAAAGAGCGGGCCATACAAGGGCTTGCGTTGTGTTGGGGTTGTGGAGAGGAAAAAATTGAAACGCATGTGGATTTGAGATGGTTTGAGTCTCAGATGAGCTGTCAAGTCTTGTACAGACTTCAATCTTTCCACAACACAAAATGTGTGGAACTGAGTCCATGCTGGGTCAGGTTTGGACGATTGGCATGAGCACGCTTCTCAGTCCAATGGGTGGCTTCGTGCTGCAGCTTGGTCAGTAAGTAGAGGGGCTTGTCGACGTGTTACGCTTCTCTCATTCAGCCACTTCAGTGATTCAGTCCCGGGTTCAAGAATAGAAAGGCTTTCAGCTTCAGGGTTTCGGGTGTAATTCTGCTGTAAAAACGGGTTTCCACTCCCCCACTCACCATCTCGCACCCCGAACCCACCCCCCTAAGCATTCCCAGCGGCCTACTAATAATCGCTGCCCCCTTTTATTCAATACCCCCCTAATTATAAAAACACTCCGGAAAACCCTGCCGAAACCGACCCCGCCTTTTAAACCCTATTCCGAATTAGGGGGTGGGTTGAGGGCTCCCAAAACCCTCAAACCAACCAACATGCTGAAGCTCCCTTCCCTCCCTTTGAGTGAGTGAGTTGAGTGAGTGAGTGAGTGTGCGTGGGTGTGAGTGAGTGGCTGCAAAGCCTTTGTCTGAGCCTGGCTGTGCCGCGTGAGCTGGTCTCTCTCTCTCTCTCTCTTTCTCTCTCTCAGTTTACACCCAAATTAATTAAGCAATTACTTAAACCCTCCAAACCCTGAAGCCTAGACCCACCCTTTTGACCCCAAACGCGACATTTGGACAAAAACATCCCCCTAATCACGAAAACACATTTCGAGTTTCTATTTGGGGGGGGCGGGGGGGAGGGAAAGGGGGCCGTTTAATGCTAGGGGGAAGGGATTAGTAGTAGTCAAAGCAGGTTAGCGATTAATTCCAGAGCTGGCTGTTCATGGAACCCAGGAAAACCATCGTGGCTCGAAGTGTCCTGTGGCTGGTCGACTGGGTCCCCCCCGACTCGATTCGGCCTTCTGCTTTGCCTCTTCGTGCAGCTTCGCGGTCTTCAGAGTGTGTTGGGAGAAGGTGGTTTAGGGTTTAGGGTTTAGGGTTTAGGGTTTAGGGTTTAGGGTTTAGGGTTTAGTGTATAGGTTTAGGGTTTAGGGTTTAGCCTGATGTTTCCTGCAACTTCAGGAAGCTGTCCTACGCTGCAAAGACAGGTGAGGGTTGCAAGGCTTGGAAACCGAGCAACGCGTGCTGTTACTGTTGCTGAACCAGCATTGAGGCCAATACCTGGGATGCACTTGTGCAGCCACATGCAGAAAGGAGCAATTTTGAGTCATCCTGAACCCCCCCCTTGAATCTGAAACCGCACGGCATAGCAAAGCCACGTCGTCGCGTACTTTGCTGCCTGTTCATCTCGTGACCTCTCCTGCAGTTTGCTGGCGTGCTAAACGTGCGCATGCCTGCGCGCCGGCGTGTCAGTTGAGAGCGGTGTCATGGTCTGCGCCTTGCGTCAAGTACCCTTCTGAGCGCCGCGCATCTCCGCCGCTCCTAGCCGTCTCAAAAAACATTCAGAAGCCAGATTCTGCAATGCCTCAAACCCTTGCACACCCCAAGCCCAAGTCCTTCTTACGCCGAGTCTGCATATGATTATGAATCCGCAAGCCCGCCAGGTGTGGATTGGTCGGTTGCTCATGCTGCTGGGGCTTCTAGCCGCCGGCTGCTACGCCATGGACGTCAAGCAGGGGGCTTACAGCAGGGGGGTTTACAATAATCAGAGACCCCGAATACACTCCCCCAAATAGTAGGATCCCCTAAGCCCGAAACCCTAAACCCTAAACCCTAAACCCTAAACGAGTTGCTTTTTCACGCGATGCGTGGCTGCTAGGCCTGGTGGGTCGGCGTTTCACCGCAACAGAGTCGTAGGTTGCCAGAGTTGAACTTAGCAGCCCAGTGGTGCCCTGTTCCCCTTTTTTTTGGGGTTCAAAAATTCCCTTATAAAGTAGTACCCTTTTCCTTTTTATTTTTTGGTTGGTTCGAGGTTCCCTTAGGTTTAGGGTTTGGGGTTTAGGGTTTAGGGTTTAGGGTCCCCTTATACAGTAACTAACCCAAAAAAGGGTGCCCTTGTCAGAAGATGGTTACTGGGCTACCTCAAGTGAATCTCGTAATCAAGGCTACTGGGTGCCATCAGAGCTGCGCAGGTTCGGAAATTACAGCGCCCGGTCGGAAGAGGCACTGTCAATATTCATGAACTTCTTCGTGATCGATGTTGCTGCTTGGACTGCCAGGTTAGCGAGTTTTTTTTTTTTTTTTGGGGGGGGGGGGGGGGAGGGGGGACGAGGGATCGATTTGGCCAAAGTTAGCGATTCTGCCGCAGGAATGTGTGCAGCGTGCCGTATGTCTTAAGGCTTCTACAGTTTCGTGGGTTCTAAAGCTAAGAGGGCGCCCAGCTAAGGTCATCATTCTCAATTGGCTATGGCCACTTCTGGCAGACGCAGCGCCTCGGCACCAGCCTCCCTTTGTATCAGCTTAATGCTGAGCTGATTCTCGTGCCTTCCCCGCCGGCCCTCACCAACCCAAAGCACAAACTGGCCTTGTCATCCGACTGCTGATGCTCAGGTCTGCGTCTTCTACCTGGTAGCCGAGATTGTAAGCGTACAGATCCTCATGGAAAGCGGCTTGGCGAGTTGCCCCCTACATCGGCCTTCTAGCATCAGGACCGGACCGAAGTAGTTTGTATTCCTCTTTCAGCAGGTGGTGTCTGTCTAAGTGCATGCGTGCAATGGAAATGGTGGGCCGCTGTGCCGATCTAGGTGCGGGCGGCACAGGGTTGAGCCACGTTTGAGCCTCATGGCGCGAGCCGCAGGACATGGTGGTTTTATTGAAGACTTCGATCCAGCCCCATCACGGTGGAAAATCGTTGTTCCAGGTATGTTCATATTCCAGTGAATTCAAAGGCTCCTGCAGGTTTCTGACCCTGAAATAACAACTTCCCCGACGCCCCAAACCGCTGTACAGGTTAAGAGCCTTAGAACGCCCGCAGCGGAATCCTGACCTCTTCGCAACTGAGGTTGGAAAATTGGGGTTGGCGTTGGTGTCGTGTCCCTCTTCGTAGCCTGGCTGGTTCGTGGCTGGTGGCGCTGGATGCTTGGTTTGGAGTGTGGGTTCATGGGCTTCTTATAGTTTTTTGAGTTGAATTGGCGATGTTGCGAGCTGAGGGTAGCCTGCAAGGGAGCTTCCATGTGCTTCTACATCTTCAAACAAGAATCACAATGACGCAGTAAGGAAGGGCTGACAGAATAGTGTATCGTGCCCGTTTTGTTTATATGTGACATGCCTTTCGTGTATCTCGCATCGGTGCTGGCCCACTTGCAGAATGGGTAGGTAGTCTTCATTTGCAGTTTGACTATTGACATGCATCTGGTATGTGCTGAATGCGAGCAGCTACTTCAAGAATAGGAATGGCCCAATTTATCAGGTATGCTTCCAAAATCGAGCGTCTACTTGGGTGAGGGTTTGTTCTTCTTGCAGCTAGAAGCATCAGTGCCAAAGCACCATCTGCATGGAGAAAGCTGTGTGGCCTGGATTTAATCCCGTCGCAGCTGCCCCCACCCCGACCCCCCAGCATCCTAAACCTGAACCACTCCACCAACCCGTTTAGGGTTTAGGGTGTAGGGTTTAGGGTTTATCCCCTCTGCCTGCTTGTGCTGAGGATAGTGGGCTTAGAGATCCTGTTGGCGGTGGTGCTTCTGACCCGGCCTTATCCAACGTCGGTCTGCATGTCTTAAAGTCTTACTTGGAGGTTCATGGGTACTTATCAGCAGGGCTGTAAGTACCCCTAAGTAAGGTTATAGCCATACTTACCCTACTTAGAACCCTACATATAAGTACCCCTGAACCTGCAAGTAGAGTCCAGCTGCGAGCTTCGGACGGCGTGCGCAGAGCTGCCCAAAGAGCCCAAGATTGCTTAATTAAGGAATATTCCTTAAATCATATAGGGATCCTTGAATCTGATTTAGGGTACATTCCTTAATTCAGCAATATTGGGCTCTTTGGGTGCCCGATGAGGATCGCGCTCACGATTTCCTCTGGGATCGTGCGGCTTTGGATCGATCAGGTCTTCACCCAGCATGGTGACAAGCTTAAGGACAGCCTGTTAGCAGTGCTTCTTCAGGCTTTGTGCAAAGGACCCGTAAAGTCAGTTTGAACATGTAGTTTCGGGTTTTTGGTTTGAGTCGTTTTGTGCAAGGGTTGCACTTTTTCACCAGAAACAGGCTTGTGTTTAGGTTCTTGGAACCAGTGGATTTGCTGAGATCCAGGAGTGGCGGACCAAGATGCGAGCTAGGCGAAAGGAGACGGAGGACAGCATCATATGCACCGCTGGCCCCCTGCGAACCCTCGCTTGTTGTTGCTAGGGGGGATGGAGAAATAGTGTGCGCCACCGGGGCCATCGAAAGTGCCACAGATGAACCCCGAGCCTTCCATCTTCGCAGACCTGGAGAAAGCAGTTGTTGAAATGCCAGGATTCACAGCCGTAGTAGACCCAGAGTCGCCACACACGAAGCAGTCGCACCGTCTACAGCTCTACTCTTGCCCCCAGAACATGGACCGGAAGCCCCCCCCCCCCCCCCAGAGGAGTGAAGACTTCTTCATTCCCCCTAAACCCTAAACCCTAAACCCTCAACCCTCAACCCTCAACCCTAAACCCTAAACCCTAACAGCCAGGCGGAGCTGGACAAGCTCCGGAAGCGAGTGCAAACCCTCGAGGCCGCCGCAGTCGAAGTGCATTGCTTGCACATGCAATGGCACAAGGGGTGGGTTTTAGGGTTTAGGGTTTAGGGTGTAAGCTAAATTGCCCTGCATGTTTGGGAGCCTGCCTTGTGAGTGCAACCAAATCCGACTTGCTAGAGTGGAGAGTTCCGTATGCAGACTCATGGAGTCCTTGAGTACGGATGATGTGGAACAGGCCAACATATACATAGAGGCCAGAATGAGCGGATAACGTGTTCTACGGACTGTCTGTTGAGCGAGAGCCTGACCTGTAAGAAACCCCACGACTCATGTCGAACATGGTAAACGATCATGGGGGAACTTTCCACCTGCTTCGCAGCACAGGAGGAGAACGAAAAGCTGAAGAAGAAAGGGCGGGCCTGACAAGAAAGGCACATGGTGGTTATCCTCACAATCAAGAAGGGACATGTTCGGGAGTTCGGCAGCCCACTTGAAGCCTTGCGACCAGGGTTCTCCATGTCCCCTAAACCCTAAACCCTAAACCAGCTTCAAGAATCGCCTGGTTCATCTACCTCCATGTGCCCTTGGCCTTGCAAGCTAAGCCTGCCACCTTCACAACAGAGCGTCACCGTAGAGGCTTGAGGTTGAGGTAACGGAAAAACCCTAAATTTAGGGCTTAAAACCCTAAATTTAGGGTTTAGGGTTTTTGTTTACGTTTAAAAAACCCTAAATTTATAGGGTTTAGGGTTTTTTTAACGTTAAACAACCCCCCAAATCTTTCAAGGACGTGCCCCAATGAGCCCAGCCCGAGCGTCCGAGACACCCTTTGTCACCGCACAGGGGCGCAGCTCTTGGCATGACATGCATCGGCAGAAGGAGTCGGCTTCAGCGTCTTAAAAAGGCCCATTAGGGTTTGGGAGTTTAGGGTTTAGGGTTTGGGTTTAAAGCTTAGGGGTTCTAAAGCCCCTCGGATACATGTCCAAGCTCCTTGCAATGCGAAAGAGAGGTGCAGTTACCAAAGAGGCCACGAGGTGCTGCGCTAAAGAGGGAGCTGCGACGCGAGCTGGTGGCTCACATGAAGCCGCAGCCGGGTGGGGTTTGGGGTCTAGGGTTTGGGGTTGAGGGCTTGCTCACACTTTCAGGCGTTTGCACAAGTCCTGATGCAAAAAAGGGTCTAGGGTTTAGGGTTTAGGGTTATGGGTTTAGGGTACCAGCTCCCAAAAGCATCGTTTTGAGGTGCCTGTCAATAGCAGGCTCCATTTTCACAAGGTGCAGACTTTGAGCCGCCTGTTGCAAGCCTCAGTTCTCATGATCCGACGAGCACGGGTGGCTTAGGGGGTTTAGGGCCTTTAGGGTTTAGGGTTTAGGGGTTCCTAGAGGGTTCAGCTTATTGCGGTTTATCTTCTTGGGGTAAATAGCAGGCAGGGCGGAAGGACAGTAGGCGTAGCCTGCCCAGTCTTGCACCAGGGGCCGTAGTCGGCACGCTCCACCTTTGAGCGACGCGACCCATCATGCGAAAAGTGGGCAGCACGACGGTTGTCCAGTGGCATATCTCAGACTCAGGGTCCTGATACTCCCGAAGTTTCGCGGGTTTAGGCTTCAGGGTTTGGGGTTTAGGGTTCGGGGTGGGTTTAGGGTTTAGGGCTTGGGGTTTAGGGTAACTCGGCTCTAACTGCTGGCATGGCTTGGCAATCAGTGTAGCTTTCATCGAAGCACTATAACCCGAGCTCGTTGGGAACCTGGCAGCCCACCGCATGAAACCCATGTGGCCCCACAACCTCCAACAACAACCGAAAAACCCACAACCCTAAACCCTAAACCATCCTAAACCCTAAACTGCCCTAAACCCTGAACCCTAAACCCTAAATCCTCCTTTCGAGGTGCGCGAGTTGCCCGTCGAGCTGGCGATCCAGAAGAGCAGCAGCAGCCTCAGAGCGCGCCAAAAAAGTTCCGAGCCCTGCTGTCTCGAAGTTGGGTTTAGGGTTTAGGGTTTAGGGTTTAGGGTTTAGGGTTTAGGGTTTAGGTCATGTTGCGTTGCAAGCGAGTTTGTTTCGTAGGAACTGCAGCTTCCGGGCTGCACTCGCATCTGCATCTTCAAACTTTGTAGATCCTGCACTGAGGATCTATGATTTGTAGACATCACGCCTGAAGACTGGGGCCAGAAGGCAAACGGAGAAGTGGATTGGCAGAACGGCCCTTCAATCTTGAAACTTTTCATTACTTGGGGTTTGTTTTCATTACATGTTGGCGGGGCATACTCTGCTCTTGCTGTGCAAACCAATGGCGCCGAGGGTGTCGTTGATAATTCTACAGTTCTCATGTCCTATCAGTTGCCATTTTGTATGTTTAGGGTTTAGGGTTCCTAAACCCTAAACCCTAAACCATGTGCTGAATCGACCTCCCCATGTAGATGCCAGGCTCCTCGCTCTTGGCGGATCTGTGAGCTGAACCCCCGCTGCCCAGGTATGAGAGTGTGTTCTGGTCCTCCGAGAAGTGGTTCTGGGAGGTGAAGGCCCGCAGGGTTGACTTGGGAAGCTTTTTTCTGGCTACCGCCATTGCCTTGTGGGGGGGGGGGGCGTAGTGGGGGTGGGGCGGGGGGGGGGTGGTGGGCACGTTTCAGTCAGCTGGGGCGGGGGGGGGGGGGGGGGGTGAGGGCGGTGAGAGCGGCGAGAGCGGGCTGCACTGGAGCCCCTTCAAACACTTCGTTTCAGCTGCACAGGGGCAGGGTAGGGGGAGGGGGGGAGTCCTTAAAACACGTCAAAGAAAGGGTACAGGGCCCCCAAAACACTGGCGCCCTTCTTTAAACTGCATGATGGGATGAGCGGGGGGTGCAGATGAGGCGGTGGGGGCGACGCTGCCACAAAAGGTGGGAGTAGGGCGATGACCGGATGACCGAGAATGGGTCTTCACTAACGCCTCCCCCGCGCCAGAGGGGTCGGCGGATAATACTATACTATACACTGTTTATGATTATGACATGTCCTTGTTCTATTATTACCACATAGCTTTGGTTAAGCTCACAGCACGAGAAGTTCTACGGAAGGTGCGAGACCGCCAAAGTGAGCGGCTCATATTCGTGGGCGATTACGCCCAACAAGACGAGGCTGGGTGTTGAGCAACACAATAATTCAAGTAGACAGCTATAAGTTTGCATATTTATATGTGTATAGCCAAAATAGGAATATTAGTATGTATATGTAGCAATGATAGAGTACTATAGCAACATCAAAGCAGAAGAAGAGTCTAATATAACAACGTATTCATGTACACGCAAAAGTATCCCCTCAGAGTCGTTTTTGCTGTGATTGTGTTTCGCTAAGATACTGTGCTTAGTTTGACCTTCAGCATGGACATATACATCTGCATATGCATGTTGGGATAGTTTTGTATGTTTATATGATTATGTTGATTTTTTAGTAACTGACACTATATTGTTCCAAACTATAATTGCCGATGTACGATAATATGAACGATGATATGTTTCAATTACTCAGTCTACTATATTTGGCTAGCAGTATACTATGATGTGTTTTCTTGTCATATCATGAAATATGATTACATTCAGACCGTTTCAGTTCTATTACTACATCAGTATACTACATGATTCTATTATTAAAAGCCACTATCCTTACGTCACAGAGGTCATTTGATCCGGGCAGTCCGAGGCCAAACCTGCCCTTCTATCGCAGGCTCTCTTCCAATAGTCCCCGATATCGTCACATATAGGGTTAGGGTTTAGGGTTTAGGGTTTAGGGTTTAGGGGAGTCCCCTTGCGGATTTGGTTGTATAGTCCTTTATGGGTGGTTGTTAAATCGGGCTACACACTCTTGCATGAGGCTGCAAAGGCAGCAGACTGCGCGCAGCTGGCGTTGGACCAAATGCCACGGGGCCGAATGATCTCGATTGCAAAGTAAAGTGTTAAACGAGCGTCGGCTGGACAGGTTCTATAATATGTCAAGGCCGACCCATGCTGTGGCACTGCAATTGGAATCTGGAAGCTGGAAATTGCTGCCCGCTGTGCAAGTAGAATTGGCAGACTTCCTTTGAATCTTGGCCTTGCGCACCAAACGCCAGCCATGCTGACTGATATCAGATGCAGTTCTTGCTCTATCATCTGAGCAACTGTTCCTCAACTTGCTTGCAAATTGACATGGACACACGGCAGATGAAATTGCTGCAAGAAACATAGGAAATCGTGGATGAAGCAACCTGTCTCCGCGAACAAACCGAACTCGATGTGGAGGTACCCACCAGCGGAGGATCAGCGAAGCTGGAAGAGACTCTTGATCGTGCATTTGAGGATGCCTCATGTTGTGCTGGGAACAGAGTAACCGACGTGATTGGCAGTTTTGAGGTTCGCCCATGCCAAAGACATCGGATCAAGTACAGTTCGATATCAACTTTAGGGTTGAGGACCGTTCCGCGCCACATGGCATGTCCCCTCTGTGTGTGGTATTGCCGGACACTTTCTCATCCCTTCCGGCGGGTGGAAGATTGCTTGCCCGATCCGCGCCACTTGAGCATGCCGCGCCCGTTTTTGAAGTGCAAGTGGCTCCGGAACAAACCCAATCATGTCGTCGAACTCTCTGGCCTCGCACTCCATCCATCCCCCATCCTTAGTTTTTGTCTTAAACAACAAAACGATTGCCAGCTGCAGACTGGGACGTTTTTTCGACCAGTTATGTGTTGTGCAGACATGGCAGAACATGCGTGTTTCATCCGCACTGAGGAAACCTGCCCAAAGAAACGATCTACCAGGACGAGGCGCATGTTGCCAGTTAGCCCTCAACCCTAAACCCCAAACCCTAAACCCTAAACCCTCTAACCCTAAACCCTAAAGACCTCAGAGTCCAGCTCCTCACGAACATTGTGCTGGCGCTTCCACGACATCCAGGATGGGGAAGGACTTGAAATTGTGCCGTACTTGCATGGGCTATTATACCCATATTATACCCTATTATACCCTATTATACCCTATGATAGCCTATTATACCCTACAACCCCTTAGCAAGGCCCCTTGTAGGGCTGGTTAGGGGGGATTCTGAGGCCTAAGAAGCCCATGCTGGTAAGCCATGAAGCGAAGCTTCCCCCCCATGAAGCAGGTGGAAGCCGTTGCTGCCACCCTGCGCGGGGAGCGGCCGCCACCCAAACCCGAAGACTGAGCTCAGACCATTTGTCACGAGTATTCAGGGCATCCTCCCTTTTCTTAGTAGTAGAGTAGGTAACCTTTAACCTTTTGGGGTATTCTATGGGGTATTCTAATCAACGAGTTTTTTTTGTTCTTGAGTCTGATGGCACCTTACTTAGGGGTCCTTAGTTTTAGGATCTGAGCTTCGATCGGGGTGTGGTGCCGGCGGATACATGGGAGACACTTGCGACGTTTCTACTACGTGTATAAGCATTGTTCCACATTTCTTGGGTGGATACAGTAGCTTTGGCCGCAGGGATGTCCCTTGGCCGTGTAGACCACGAAAGGCCGACTGCGAGAGCGAGGCGAAAACTTGCGCTTAGCCGCTGAGTGGCCATGCTCGGCTTCCTGTTCAAGATGGGAGTTTTCGAAAGTAAGGGACCACTAGACCCAGAGAGCCCAATGCGCTTTAATTAAGGAATACACCCTAAATTATGTAGGGACCCTTAATATGATTTAAGGTATACTGCTGAATTAAGGGGTATGGGGCTCTTTGGGGAATAGCCCGCCCAAGTAGTAGGATTCTAGTAAGGGCCCCCAATAAGGTACCCCGAATTTCGGAAACCCCCACGTGAGAGCACTGAAGCTGGGCCTTCCGTGGTTCTGCCATAAGCTGTGCTTGCGCCTCGAGGCCGCAGCGGAGGCCACTGGTGACGTTCGTGATGCCGGGGACTTGGAGTGGCAGGTGCAAGCAGCTAGACAAGCACCCGCCCTTCATGTTTTCGCCACACACACACTGAACTTCCGTCAGAAGCCTCGTGTATGAGCGGTCATGTGCACAACCTCGTTGGCCACCAGCATCTCACCATATGCTATTTTGCCTTAAAAAACAGGGCCTTTGTTGGTGGCTATAGGGTATGGTAGCCCATGCAGGTTAATCTTTCTTCAAAGGTTCCGAGCCACCATGCGAGACACTCGCCCGGACACCTGAGATCGTGCGTGGTGCCTACGCCCAGACGGCAGTAGGAGCCTCAGAGTGTTAGGCCCCCTTCGTGTTTTCACCACCGGAGCCGATGTCATGGGATATGAGATGATCATTTAGGATATTATATATATATATATATGTATATATATACACACTACATATATATATATATATATATATAATATGTACATGACAGTATATTGCAGTATACTGCAATGTATTGTAATGTATCGTAGGATGTTGTAATATATTGTAATATGTTTATCAAGCAACTACTGGCCGCAGACTTGCAGGTGGGTGGCGCAGGTGTCCAGCCCTCAGCACCATGCTCCGTTGAAGAACTTGGGGGGGCTACCACCTTTTGGCTCTCGTGGATCCGCGCCCGGTTTGCGAAATGCGGGCTCGAAGCTTTCAGGGAAGTGGTTCGGATTTGAAGATGAAGAATTTTCACCCCCTTCACCCTGAACGTAATGCTGGGGGGGGGGGGTGCTGGCCGACGGATTCCGGCTCTTGTATGCCTTAAGAGCCGCCAGACAGTTGTGGCTCACAGAGTATGGGCATTGCCTGTTCAAACATGCTACAGCCGTCCGTATATCCGTGTACAGCGGGTGATGCTGTGCACGTGGGATGACTCCGTCGACAGAGCGCACAGACAGAAACAAGCCATCAGCACCTTTTTTGAACACGTAAGTACAGCAACGCCTCGTTCCAAACCCTGTAGCTATGGCGGCCCGCTGGATTTCCAAACTTCCGGCCCTCACCGCGGGACGGCGCTCCTTCAGTGCAGTCGCACTTCGCGAGCCCCCCCGCAGCTTACAGCTTTCGGGTAGTAGGATGTGGCCGCCATGCAGGGACTTTAGGGCTGGTTCTCTGGTGTGGATGGTCAGGGCCAGGGAAGCTTTTCTGTCGAGTTTGGGAGGAATGTGAAGCCCGAAGCTTACGCCCAGGATCGCCCCCTCCGTCTGGCGCCTGGGAGAAGGGCGGCCTCGTGTAGCAGTGCTGGGTGGCGTGCATGGGAACGAGTGGCTTGGCCATTTTCACTTCCGGCCTCCGGGAATTTGGAGCTCGGTGCGGGTTGTGTAACGAGGCATGTTCAAAGGTTCTGCGCATTTCTGCGCTTGGGAGGTTGCACCTCCAGATCCACACAATGACACTGCAAGATTGGCAGTCATCATGTTAAGCATTTGCTGCCGCAGTCGCTGCGGCATCGGAATTAGAGCATCTTCGAACAGCTGCCGCGCTCGTTCCCCAACCGCCCCAGAGATCTGCAAGCCCGAAGCTTCAAGACCGTCTCAAGGCACTGTACAAGCTATGCACATGTCCGACATTTCCTCTTCAGGTCACTGCCAACACCTGTAAGTTTGCAAGCGCATGCACCATGTTGTTCATCTGGAACATGAAAGCTCTCTTACTTGTGACGCATGTTGCAAGCGTCCCCAGACTTTAGAAATTGGATCCAGCGGAGCGGTCGAGCCAGCCAGCTTACAGCACCAAACAACCGAAAGCAGGAACACGTATAGTGTCAGTTCCAAAAAAGGCTGCTTGTCTCGCATTCCGTTTCCTGACTTGCCGTACACTTCAGTCAACGGCAGCAGAATACATGTATAGTGTCAGTTACAAAAAAGCGGCTTGTCTCGCACTCATCGACAGTATGTGCCTCGCCTGGCTTGTCGGAGCGTGGGCGATTAAACCCTAAACCGGGAGTCAGGCATTAATTTGAGGCGGGGACGTCACAGGCAGAGTCCCGAGATCTGTTTTAAATTTTTGCTGCCGACTCAATTGTGCCACTTTGCAGCACCCTAAATCATCCTATACCCAGAGAGCCCAGTACCCCTTAACTCAGGAAGATGCCTTAAATTATATAGGGGTCCTTCATATGATTCAAGGTACTTTTCCTTAATTCAGGGATATTGGGCTCTTTGGGTATGCCCTGTGCAGCCCTCACAGCATTCACGCGAAGCTTGGGTAGACTCAGGCTTAGCGGCGTGGAGGTGGTGCAACGCCTCCTTTCGGACTTCCGCCACATGACGCCGGACCTTTTTTTTTTCTGGGGGCAGGGTCTGGATTTTTTGGGCTGTTTTGGAGAGTGCGCAGCCCAACGGTTGGAACAAACGAATCCACAACCCAAACAAGAAAGACAAAATGCTCAGGGTTGCACTGCTGCACCATCTGCACGAGCTCGAAGCATGAAGCCATTCATTGCGGTCAGCTTCGTGATGGATTCGGCTTCTGGACTTGAAAGCAGCGGGTCTAAAGGGGTGAGTAAAAGGCAGATGCTCACAGTCACTGGCAGTGATGCAGGACCTGCAGATCTCAGGGGAGATCACGCTGGCCATCGGGAATCCTCCAGCAGTGAGCCGAGGGGTGCGGCTTCCTGGCTGGATCGGTTTCTGGTGAAGCGGCGGCTGCTGTTACATGGAGTCCAGTGCCCAAGACCCAAGCAACTGGGCCCACACTATGTAGGAGTGAAGTCACCACACATTGTGATTAGGAGTGAAGTCGCAGTTGCACACACACACACACACACACACACACCGGCCACGTAGAAGGGAATGTCGAAAGCACTACTCGCAAGACGGTCATGCAACCTTCCAGGTTTCTTCATCAGGATCTCAACCGCTGCTTCTGCGAGGCACCAGCATGCCAGATTCCGGAAGAATTTTTCCGGAACCCTAAGCCTAAACCCTAAACCCTAAACCCTACCAGCCAGTATCCCTGAAACGCTTAAGCCGCTAAGCTCCAAGTCCACTTTTGCCAGAGGCGCTTGGTGGGGACGCCACGCCGGGCGAGGAGCTGGCGCGCGCCAAGGCTGGTCGGGGCTCAAAGGCTCAAGGTCTGAAACAGATTTAGGGGTTTGGAGAACTCTGTTTGGGTTGGGGTCTGACTGTAGTCTAACTGATGGGTCCGTCTGGTACCAACAACACTTTCGGGAAGAAGTAAGAATCATGCCATAATCGACGCAACAAAGATCTATGCTTAGTTTGGATCCCCCCCTTCAATACTAAGAAAATGTCGAACCCTTGAGTTTGAGATCTCAGGTGCTGATGCCTATGCTCCGACTCATGGCTGGTCTGGAGTGACACAGGTGGTGGGGACAGCTGCGCGCTTTCAACTCAGATCTTCCCAAACCCCTTAGTTGAGGAGTATACCTTGATTTATACCAAGGATCTTTACTATGAATTAGGGTATATTCCTTCCTTAAGGGTCTTTGGAAGATCTGGGAATGGGAAACACAACCCTAACTACTACTCAATGTAGGACAGAGTGAGACTTCGCGGTATTCAATAACCAAATCTTCTCACCCATTGGATCTGACTCCATGTCCACCTGACCTTGCCCAGATCGGATGCCCAGCCGAGGAGACTTGGATGTGCTGCTGGACCTCCATGCGACAAATAAGCCATCCACCCCCTTCGCACGGCTGCCAGGCCATTTGTGCTGATAGGGCTGGAGAGTCAGGGTGGCCGGGTCTGTCGTCCTTAAGCCGCCGAGTGCCTTCAGGCACACGTGCCTGCGCAGCTCTTCGTGTATCTTTCCAGGCCCAGTAGAAGGTCGCAAGGAGCGCTTCGCCTCGGCGGAAAGGCCGGGACCCCACCGCGCTGAATGTCCGAAGTGGTAGTCGTGATCTCGGGCAGAAGACTTGGAAGGACCTCTTCTGAGCTCGTCAAGAGATTCCGAGCATCTCCCTCCTACCCTTTCATGCGACATGTGGCACACGGAGTCCCACTACATCCGTGTGACCGTGGCAGGCTCTTCTTGCGCGCATTGCCTTGCCATACGGTGCTGTGGGCTGCTTGGCTAGGTTGTTCTAGGATGCAGCTTCCATGGGCCGAAGTGCATCAACTTCACAAACCAACCCTGTCTTCGGCTGCATCTATGTTCAACCAGTACCGTCGAGTTCTTCTTTGCTTTCGCAACTTTGCCAAACCCTAGTAGAGGGTTACGCCCAGCCCGTCAAAAATCGGGCTGCCTCTCGAGGATCCGAACAAGTTGATCGCGGGCGGTGCCATGTCAGATGAATATGCCTCGCAACATGCACCTTTTGAAGCGTGCCAAAGGACCAAGCACTGCGGGGAGTTTGCTGTGGGTGTTGGGATCGCTTGGGTGCTCATCTTGCGTCGGCAGGAGTGGACGGCAGATTCATCCGGCCCATATCTGCTACGAGTCTGGCCTTGCATCCGACAAGAGTTCTGCTGCAGCGATATACAGCGCCGTGCAAACGTGCTTTGCAGAGCTGCTTGGCTCAAGTTCGTCTCATCACCGTATAGTTCCGTGTCCATCACCTAACATAGTCTGCCATGCGCAAAGTCAGGTTGGGCATCGTGGCGCACCCTGACGGCAAAGCCAGCGTCGAAGATGAAGGTGGACGTAGCTCTGCTGCCATTCATGCTGTGACGGTATGAAGGCTTGACGCACTTGCACTGACTCACCGCGTGACCTAGCTTCCACGCCAGATCTCAGTATGGGGGCTCAGGAGGGCGCACATCCTAAAAAAGGCTTTCGTTGCGGGGGATAGTTGCAAAATTCAAAAAGCGTTTTTGGGTTGACCGAGGAAAGGCTGACCAATTTGTGAACGGCACGATCTTCATAAACAATGAGGGTTGGCAGCTGGTACTGCCGGCCCGACAGCTCAGGCCAGTGGGAGCACTTCGAGATCACGAACGTTTACAAGTTGGATAGCAGAGGCTTTGAGTGGATGAACGGTGGCCCGGCCTGTAGCAACAGCTACAAGGAAATGCTGCGAATGCAAAGTCAGCACCTTGTGGTATCACCTTGGCCTTAAAAAAACAAAGTGTCATACACATGTGTAGTAAAGGGAAGGATGATGTTCACTCGCTGAGGATTACGTTGGGTTGTAATGTGTGTTATGTGTTTTTGTTTCTTCATTTGATGGAGAGATCAGGCTTTCGACTGCTTTGGCAAGCGTATGGAATTGTAAGAGTAACTTAGCTGCTGGTGCACCAGCTCCTGATGGTGTGGGCAATCAGGAGTCTCTGAAGATTGGCAAAGAGTGGATGTTGATGGTTTGCGTCCAGAACTGTTATTGTGGCAAAACACTGTTATTGCCACTAGAATCTTCATGCGGGACTGTTAGTACAGGGAAGAACATCCCAAACCATCTCCAAAAGAGGGTGATAGAAGGCCCTAACCCTTACCCCCTTTTATCGAGTTCAGGGCCTGGAGAGTTTGGGGGTCCCGATTAGGAAAGGCTCCGAAGACACCTGAGCCGATGCGCCCAAGCTATGCCCTGAACCCTTTGAGCCCTCAATTCTGGGGTTTAGGGTACTGGTTTAGGGTTTAGGGGTTAGGGTTTGGGTTTTATCCCTCGGCCTAAGGCTTCTGAACACACCGGAAGGTTAAAGTGCAGGGAACCCCGAAAGCCCCCGTTACCCTGGCGATAACCTCTTTTCCCCAGAAACCAGCCCCAAAAAAGCATAGCCAGATGTAGTCATAGTAATTCTAGTCATTATAGGAGTTCTAATAAATAACAAGATGTAGTCACAGTAATCCTAGTCATTTGAGGAATTCTGGAAATTATCGCCACCCAAAAAGCTACGTCGACTGCTATCCTGAAGCCCCAGGCTATGGCACGCACAACTTCCAGGCCGGGGGATAAACCTGGGGGGGGCGGGGAGTCGTTCACCACAAGCTCGTGCGAAGTAGAAGGTTTGGGCCGCCGGTCTAGGGTTTAGGGTTTATACAGGGTGTATAGGGTTTAGGGACGATCTTGAGAGAGTCCTCGCTGAGAAGGGGTTGATGATGATGCGGACCGCGCGGCTCGCCCCAAAGCACTGCCACCAACGCGTCACAGACTCACACAAAAAATCCGGGGGGAGATCAAGAAGGCTGGACGCCCTTGAGCCCCGAACGGAGGTTGTTCTAGAAGTCTGAGTCCCTGGTACATGACTCGTGAAACATGGGGGTTTGCGAGAATAGTGGCGTATCTTCTTGTTTAAAGTCGTATCTCGGGCACGTGCACACTGGGGATTCGCGAAGTTCCTAGATTGGTCAGGACCCACTTGCACCCCCAACCAGAAATCTCATTCACGCAGACAAAAATGTGCTCCCCTCCCGGGCGTGCGTTGACAAGTGCGTATTTTGCATGTGTGTCGAGAACATGCGCGTGCTGCGCGTGCACATTGGAGGAGAGGATTCAACATATGTCTCTGTGATGCGACCTTACGCGGGGTGATGTGGCTTCGCTCGTAGCCGCGTGTGTCACTGGGGAGATGTGATTTCACGCGCAAAGATGTGAGTGAACCTAGTTCTTGTATCGGAAACCTCACATTGTTTGGTAAGTCTGGAAAGAGCCCTTCAGGTTGTGCCTCCAGAAACCGCCTTCGGCCGGCGCCTCGAACCACTTGAGGAGCTGGTTTCGCCGTTGCTCGGCTTTTGGTTTCGGATTCGGGTTTAGGGTTTAGGGTTGAGGGCATTCTGCAAGACTGCTGCAAAAGGGTCTATAGGGTTTAGGGTTTGGGGTTTAGGGTTTAGGGTTTCCGGTTTCGGGTTTCGGGTTTCGGGTTTCGGGTTTCGGGCTCCTGCTGCAGGTCAAGAAACCCCACAGTACCCTATATAGTTAAAACCCTACACGCCCAAACTTATGGCTTGCTCTGAAAGCATCTGCAGTGGAAGTGAGATCATGACGAGCCTTCTGCAGACTGCGTCCTGAGGATTGGCCATGAGTCTTACATCGTCTTCCCAAAAGGCCCACAGCAGCCCACCCTTCGGCGAAAGCCGGGCGCAGCAGAGAGTGACAGGAAAATATGGACACTGTATGACTGTATGAAATGGGTCGGACTGGGTAGGTAAGCGTTAACCTTTTTGGGGTATATATTCCTGCTATATCCAAAATTTGTTTGCGGAGGCGAAGCTCTACGATCGCCAGGCTGGCCTGTCGGCTGGCTGGCCCGGAAGCTGTCCCCTGAAGAGGTCTGAGACACTCTGGATTTAGGCAGCGTTTTCCCTTCGGGTCTAGAGGTGACCGAGTGAGCCTTGAAGAGTAGGGATCAGCCTGACCCGAGCCTGACCCAGCAGGCGTTGCAAGGCAAAAGAAGCGAGCAATCTTGTGGTGCTGAAGTGAAGCGAACCGGGTGCGAGCAAGCTGTCGTGGAGTAGGATTGGCTGGAGCAAAAGGTCCTTCCTTTTGACGTTGGCGACATTCAGAAGCGTCGCAAGCTGCTTGGTGCCGCCCCAAGCACGCGGGCCCATGAATCTACAGGTTCGTTTTTCTGATCCCTGGTTTCTGTGGCTAGTAGTCCGCGTGTCGGGAGATGAATTCGAGCCACAGCTGTGCGCCCGGAAGAAGCCGGCCAGTGAAGCGTGATGCAGGAACATTATCGCATGTACACGGCCGTATTGCTGCATAGTTCGATTCTCAAGCAGGCACACGTCGCTCGGACTCCGGGATCAGTTTTTGTTTATAGTTTGTGGCCTTCAACCCTCAACCCTAAACCCCAAACCCGAGCGGGTGGCAAAAACAACCTAACCCCAAGCAGAGAGGATGGGGGAAGTGTAGGCCTGCAGAATCTCGCCGTGCCATGTGCAGGCTACGAGGATGGAGACGTCAATGAGTCCGCGGATCTAGGCACGTGATGAACGAAAAACGCATGGGCATGTTGAGGCTTGCGACATCGGGGGGAGAGATGGTCATGTCACTTTAGCAGGTTCGCCATACAGTTGCGTACATCTTGCAACAGGGCATTGGCATGGGCTGCATGCTGTCGTCTTGGCTCAAGCAAGAGTTGTAGCAAGCTAGGCATTGCGCTGAGGATGTGGTCTTCACCAACAGGTCCACCCCAGAGACCTCTACGAAGCTACTAGATCCTTTCTTCTAACTTGTCACACTGAGTGTATCGGTTGCAAGTCAAACTAATTTGTCTTCGGTACAGCGTGCCACGATCACTGGCGATGTCGGAGCCGCCACTTGAAACAGGAGGACAAGCAAACAGCTCCGGACGCTCCGGCTACAGGAGCCGAAGAGGTAACAGAAACTCTGAGCAACAAGGTGGTTCCCGGTGGGTTCCAACAGACGTTGCGCGTGGGCGTGAGGTGGTCGCCGAGGGGCAGCCATCACAAGGTGAGAGGAAGAAGAGCCCCAAAGGCAAGGGCAAGGGCAAGGGCAAAGGCAAGAAGAGCAAAGGGAAGTCTGGCAGCGGCGATGGAGCTCCTCACTCGAGTGCAGAACAGGAGATGCCTCCAGAGACATCTCAGAAATCCCATCCATCCCCACCTCGCCGACGCTACGGTTCCTCGACCGGAACTGTCGCTGAGCGACTGGCGGATCAACTTTCTCGAGGCTCATATGACTGCATGATTTGCTTGACGAAGGTCAAGCCGAGCCATCACATATGGTCGTGCGACCAGTGCTGGGCAGCGTTCCACTTGAAGTGCATCAGAAGCTGGGTCCGGCGCTGCAACACCAGCGATGGGCCAGAGTTTGAGTGGGCGTGCCCCGGATGTCGCTATCATCGAGTGGATCGCCTGCCAGATTACACCTGCTTCTGCAAGAAGCTTCCGGAGCCGGAGCTGAACCCACATTGGTTAGCCCACAGCTGCGGCGAGGTGTGCGAGCGCACGCGAGGATGCCCACATCCCTGCCCCGAACTTTGCCATCCAGGACCTTGCCCGCGCTGCACCGCCGTCGGCGGTCCCGGAAGTTGCCATTGTGGCCAAGAGGTGACTGAGACGACCAGGTGTGGCGATCCTAAGAAGTGGTCCTGCGGCCAACCTTGTGGACAAACGCTCAGCTGTGGTCAACACATCTGCAAGGCGAGGTGTCACGAGGGACGATGTCCGCCTTGCTCAGAGACATCCTTGGAGTCGTGTTTTTGCGGCAAGACGGAGGAGCATCGGCTTTGTGGGCAAACCGCCTTCTCCTGCCGCCGGCCATGTGGCAGAGCCTTGGAGTGCCAGGAGCACTTCTGTGAGAGGGAGTGTCATGCTGGCGAGTGCGGCCTGTGTCCAAAGGATCCTAAGACCTGGGGGGACCGCTGTGCCTGCGGCAAGACCTCGAACTGCAGCAGCGAGTCGGTCAGACCTCGCTTGGTCAAGTTTGTGGGGCAGAGGAGGAGGTGTTCGCAGCCGCTTGCTCTTTGCAACCAGTTCTGTGGGAGAAGACACGAGCGCTGCTCGCACACGTGCGAGGCAAAGTGCCACGAGGGCCCGTGTGACGTTTGCAAGGTCAAGGTACAACGAGATTGCCGATGCGGCCGAACACGGCGCGAAGCTGTTTGCTCCGAAGGTGCAGACATGCTTTGCCATCATGTGTGTCGGACAAAAAAGACATGCGGGAACCACAAGTGCGAAGTGGTGTGCTGTGAAGGCTTCAACAATCGCAACCACGAGGCGCACATGTGCCTGCAAGTTTGCGGGCGTCCGCTGCCCTGCGGCAACCACGTGTGCGAGGAATTCTGCCATTTGGGGAATTGCCCTCCGTGCCGTGTGGTCTTGCATGAACCTTTGTATTGTGCATGTGGGAAGAACTCTGTTGAACCACCGGTGTTTTGTGGTACTGCGCCGCCGGAGTGCGACGAACCGTGCGCGCAGCTGATGGAGTGTGGCCACGAATGCCCTGCAAAGTGTCACGAAGGTCCTCACCCACTGTGCTACGAGCCCGTCTCCCGACTTTGCTTGGGTGGCCACAAGCAGCTCTTCAACACACCATGTCATGTGGGCTCTATCTCTTGCGGTCAGCCCTGCGGCAAGCCTCTTCCCTGCGGACACAGCTGCTCGTCACAATGCCATGCTGGCGAGTGTAAGCCTTGTTCGAGTCCTTGCGGAGCCAGGCGAGTTCACTGCAGCCACACATGCCAGGCGGACTGCCACCCAGGATCGCAGTGCGAGGACACGCCATGCAAGTGGAAGATCAAGCAAGCCTGCCCGTGTGGTCGAAGAGTGGAAGAGCGACTCTGTGGGGCCTTCAGTGGTCTCCCTCGTCCCCAGACCTCCCAGCGCTTCGGCTGCCTGCCCTCCTGCGAGCGGCGCTCCATTGACACAGCAATACCAGGCGAGGCAGTGAAATACACAGCTGACCTCTTCCAACTTGCTGTCCATCATCGCAGGTACCTTGAGATGCTTGAGGACACTTTCATGGAAGGCATTCTCGACTTGGGGGCCAAAGGGGCCGGACGCCCGGGCAGCAACGTCAAGACGCTGCCGCCGTGCGATGCGTCGCGGCGCCTGCTGGCTGTGGAGTATGCGCGCCTCCACTGGCGAATCAAGACATCGACCCGACCTGATCCTGTCGAGGGATGGTTTGTCGTGCAAGTTGTTCCTGGAAGCCAGTCGAGACCACCGCGGCCACTTCTGTCGGAGATTGCGGCAGCAAGTTCAACAGCTGTGTCCAGTTACCTTCTTCCGACGCTGAGCTCTCAGCCGTGCCTTCGCTTCATGGGCCTCAAATCCCTCGATGAGGTCTACGATCTAGTTGGCCTGGAGGGTCTCCTCGGCGTGCGGCCCGGCAACAGCAGCTCCGAGGCGATTGCTTTTGTTGAACGAGGGGCGACAGGCGCCAGCCTGTTTCGTCGCCTGACGGGGCAAGAGCCGAAGGGGGCTTCGGAGGCTCCCCTCCGAAGTACAAACGCCTGGGGACAAGGCAGCAGCACACGCCATGTGCGCGTATCTCTTGAGCAGACCCTGACAACAGGACCCCGTCCAGAGAAGCGGCTTGCAAATGCAAAGGCTGCGCCGGTGGATGCTTGGGATACAAAAACAGGCGACCAGGAGGAGGAGGATGAGGTTCCCGACAACTGGGAAGACATGTGAGGACTCAGAGTGTTTTTTTCTATCAATGCACTTTCCCTGTGGATTGCTCGGAAGCTATGGTCCAGGCTATGGTGACATTGTCCAGGGGCTTGAACATGGCCCATACAGTGTACAGCACCCATGTCTCCCTGGAAAACCTCGAGCCTGCGTCGCTGAACTCCCAACTGTGGGTCGTTATCTGTATGTGTATATATACATATATATCTATCTATCTATCTATCTATCTTGCATATATATATATATATATGCTCTATATATATATATATAAAAGAAATTGTTACATCGTATTATGTTTTTGTATCTTAGCTTAAAGATAGCATACATATATATATATGCGCAGATTTATTATTCCCTTTTCTGTAGGCCTGGGCTGCGGCAATCCCCTCGTCGCAGCCAACCTCCAGCCGGGTGAGGTGCGTCCTGCGGGGACATGAGGGTGGCTGTAGCTTGCGTCCTGTACTTGGGGGCTTATAGAATTAAGAGAAGCTAAGGGTTTAGGGATTAGGGTTTAGGGCCACTAGTCCTCAAGCCCAGTTGCAACAGGGCCACTCGGAGGTTCATGGGTAGTTATAAGCAGGGTTAGAAGCACCCTGAATAGGGTTATAAGTATAGTTGCCATACTTAGAACCCTCCTTAGAACTGCCCATGAACCTCCTCCAAGTACTGAACGCCCATCAACTCTATGGCAAGGGAGTCTTGGGAGCCTCAGAGTCAGGGGAGGGTTTAGGGTTTAGGGTTTAGGGCTTAGGGCTTAGGGCTTAGGGTTTAGGGTTTAGGGTTTAGGGTTTAGGGTTTAGGGGGGTTGAGTTGAGAATGTGAAGGACCTGTCGCCGCATGTGTCGGGTACGGTGTCTCTACTTTACTTGATCAAATCAATAGTCAGGGACGGATCGCGGAGTTTGTTTCGATAAAGCAGCATCAGGAACAAGAAGAAATTGAGCAAAACGATGTGCACGCAACGTGCGCCTCGCCGGCGAAGTTTTGTGTAGTTTGCCATAGAAGGCGTCGTTGAAAAATGTTCACAGGATCAAGCTCAAGAAGCAAAAAAGCCCGCTTGCACAATTCCCTCACCTTCTCAACCCACTACTTGTACCCCAAACATAAGCTTATGTCACAGTCGCACCCTAAGCCCTAAACCTTAAGCCCTCAACCATGGCCCAGGTGGTGTTGGA